GCTTCATTGGGAAAGTTGTAATATTTTTGTAAGAATAGGTATCTTCTGAGATAAATTATGGGTTTTGCCACAGTGAAAATTTCTGAATAAACAGTATGGAATGCTGATATTGTCGATTTTTGTCCATTAGGGTAAAACTTTTTTTTTTCCTGACATTCTGCTGCAACTGACTTGGAGTCTGCCTTTTCCTCTGGGAGCTTGTCTCTTAGAAAAGCTTGAATGTGTTCCTTAAAGGTGGTCTTCATAAAATGCAAACTAATAAATCAAGGTCTGTTTTTTGTAGTACCATGACTTGGATTTTTTTCTGATGTGAAACCAAAAGGAATCTTGCTGCCAGAGGAGATGGCCATCCAGCTCAGTGTTCTGTCTGCAGCAATGGTCAAAAGCAGTGAGTTTTCAAGAACTAAAAAGGACAGGAGAAGTATGTAAATATACTTAGCCTTCACTTTGACTTAAGAGCTTTCTGAATTGAGGAGGGTGTGATTTTTCTAAGTCAACTGTGAAGTTTTGAGAATTCACTGAGAAATATTATTGCTACTGGGCTATGCTTCAGTAGTTGTATAACATGCTTGATTGAGTCAGTCTAAATTTTTATGTTTCCTTTTCTTAGATACAAGGCAATGAAATTGCCCAAATAAAGCAAAATCTATTGCTTCTATTGTATAATGTTAGTAATTTTCAAACCCACTTGATTTAGGAGTATTTTTAAAGGATAATATAATTCTTTGAATATTTTCACTTTCAAAATGAATGTGGGAACTACTTCTAGTGCAATTGCAGTGCAGTTCCATCAATGCCCTGTTCTCTTAAGCCATGATCATTTGGATATCCTTGAATGAGCCTTGCATTTTTCACTTGTTCTTCCATCCAAAGTAGGAAGAAGTCAGTACAAAATTATTTAGATATAATGGGGTGTTTGGTGAGACATCTGAATCTAAGGAAATACAGTAGAAAGTTTCTTAAAGATTTGCAGACCTGTTTTCTGTTTCCCCTGATCTTGTGTAGAGGGAAGTATTACCTTAAGGACAAGTGCAGTGAACATTTCTGTTTTACTTTAAGATTGACATTCGATCTTATATTTATTATATTGATTTGCTACAGACAAATAGGGCATCACTGTGCTCAGTATCAAACACAAATATTTATATTGGCTTAGCTGAGGGAGCTGGAATCCTGGATTGTAGTTCTGCCCCAGGAAGATTAATTCTAACTGAAGAATAATATGAAACAATTCTACTTTGTCCTTATTTGATGTATCTACCACTGTTATGTGGTGAATTAACTGAGGACTAATCATTGCTTAGATCTCTGCTGTGATTAAATGTAAATAAAAAAATCCATGCAGTTGAATTTCTGTTGCATTAGCTGCATCCTTGGTCTGAGAACATGAGATTTTAATCTCTAGCATTATGGGAACCTTTAATCACATGTTTATTTACTGTTTGTGATCTAGGAAATGGCATTGCTTCATATAGCTAAGCTGTGCAGAATGTAATCTAAGGATTAAGAAAAGGCAAATCTTCCTATCCATTTGACCTTGAAAATCTGATTGGATTTCCTGTGTGATCTGGCATGATTTTTCCCTAATTATCTAAAGCTTGATGTATGTGAATGATATTGGAAGAGCTGGGCAGATATGAATAAAACTCTAATGCTCAGCTGTATTTTCCTGTTCATAGATTTCAAGCGCAAAGAAAAAATAAAATCTGAGATAAAATGTGATTAGTGGACTGGACTTTGTTCATACAAAATTTGAGTCTTTTACAATAACAATGAAGGGGAAGAAAGTCTTAAATCAGTTTGATTAACATTAGAGCATAACAGGAAAAAATACTTAATTTTACTTTGTACTGCTTTGGCAATGAGCTGTGGCTGTTTGTTAGTAAAGTAGTTTGTCTTTAAAGCAAATGGGGAAAATTGTGATCCGTTTTGCTGAGAGCTGATGTGCAGCCTCTTAACAGATTTCAGTAGCTTCTTCAAGCAAAAAGCAAGTTGTTTAAACAGTGCAAGTAAAAGAATTAAGAATTTTTGCTTAAAATGTTCAATAAAGTGTGTAGATACTTGGGATAGGAAAACTGATTTTTGGGATAAGTAATGTGTTTCTTTTAATAATTACTTCAGTGACTTGAAGTTCAGTATCTACTAGAGCAAGAAGAGAGCAGTCTTTTTATGCTTTTTATTAGCTCAAAGTAGTCCCATATTATGAGCATATTTAGCATTAATCACATTGTTGCAACCAAGTCCTTCAAATAGCTAATTAAAATAACTTTCTAAGCTAAAGTATTTAGGAAATACAATTAGCAGTGTATTGATCTCTTAAGGAATTTATGCATCTGGCTCAGCCAAAGAAAGTTACTGAGGTATAACTCTGTGCTTAACTCCTCAAGAGCATTTTAAGTGCATCTGAGGTGTCTGAAACAACTTATTTCCAGGTGTAATATTTCTTGGCAATTTCTAGGAAGTTCCTTAAACCACTGTTGATTCATAAACTTGTAGTTTAATGTTATTATTGTGGTCTCCCCACTTTCAGGTGGGCAGGGGCATTGCAGTGTATGCCATGCTGTGCATTTGGGGATAACAGCATATGACTCAACATGAGAAAACAAATTTTTAGCTTTACCAGTTCATAAAAATTTGGTGCACTTTGATGTTGAAGGTACTCTTATTTTGTAAGTTTAGATTCTTCAGGAAAAAGTCTTTTACTGTAACACTAATTACAGTGAATGAGAACTCATGAAGGTTTTGCATCAAGCTGGGATCAGCTGAACTACCTGGGGGTCTTGATGCACTGCTCCATCAGAAAAATACAGCAAAATGCATTAATTGAATTTAAAATTGAATGGATTTTAACTGTGTGCTTTTACGACTTGAACAAATTTTTATTCCTAATATTTAAAATCAATACTAAATCAAGTCATATCAAGTTTTTTGCAACTGCATTTGCTTCAGTCATAACAAATGGATATATTTTAATTACAATTTTGATAACCAGCATGTTGTGGTGTAAAATATTGCTAAAGAACAGCAGATTTCTGGTCAGTTTTAAGCTTTGGGTGTTAATAGTATAATACCAGCAAAAGCCTTAAAAATTAGTGTTGTGTTTTTATTTGTAAAACATAAAAACCTCTAAGTACCTAATCTTGTTTTTCTAGGGGAATCAAAGTGTTTTGTCACTATTGCCCTTTTTATATGAGGAAAGAGGGATGTTAGATGTATGTCTGTATTTGAATGCTGTGATAGTAGTATGCTTTTACACCTGAATGTGATATTTGCGAACTTCGACTTCTAAAAGATACCAGTTACATAATTTCTGAGTGGGAGCATCACATCCTATAAAATTTTAGTCTTCATTTCACCTGGAAATGAGTTCTGAATTAAACTGATGTAACTTTGCATCTGTTTAATTTCCTGTAATTCCCTAGCCTGTAACGTGGTGTTTCCAGATTTCCATTTCTACCAGTATTTCAACTATTGAAGTGTTCTTCAGTTGTTGTTGGCTGGTGGGATAATGGTGATGGAACCTTTTTTTTTTTTTTTTTTTACTGAGCACGATGAAGCAAGGTTGCTTTGATAGGGCACTTCCAGAATTTTTACATTGCTACAATCCAGAGGAATCAAAAACTTCATAGAGACTTGACAAGAAGTTTTGAAAATACAAGTGGGTAATTCTTTTCCTTCAAGAAGCCTTCAGATACTCTGAGGCTCGTCTGACTTTCTTAGTTTTCAGCCACTGAACAATAACTTAAATAAATCGTTTATTTCCTATTTTGTATTAGTGAAGTTAAAACTTGCATGGAAGATAAGTTTCATCTATTAAAAAAGATGTTGGCATCTTAATTTCTCTAGTGATAAATGGAAATGGACTGGTATTCATTAAATAAATCTGATAATAATGCATGGATTTTTTTCCATAGTTAGAAATTTGTTGGTTTATTCTGTTTTATGTTTCAAACCAGGTTGTTTTTGAAAGTGTACTAAAGGCTGCTTTCTCCTGTGGTTTTGATTGGTTTCTTTTCGTTCAAGTTTTTATTACAGTCTCCTCTTGGCCTAAGACCACATTCCCATTAAAGAAACTGCAAGGTCTTGATGAATGTCCTTAATTTCTAGTGGTCGAGTAGAGCAGAAGGGTATTTCTTGTGGTGACAAATTAACAAGATATATGGAGATGCTTGTGGAGGACAAGTGCTAGATTCCCACAGAAGAACTTCTGTGGCATTTCTGAAATGGGTTGGATTTTGGTGCGTGCTCACATGTTTAACAATTAGCCCCCAGCATGATGGTCCCAATCCAGCAAATACCTTAAGAAGTGCTTCACTTTGTCTTCCTGCATGGTCCTCATGAGTCCTCTCTAATGAAATCTGCAGTTTTTCATTAGCACACTGGAGAGTCAATATTTGGAGAAAAGTATAATCAGGAGTCAGCGTTGTCTGTATCTCTGGAACGAATAGTCACGCAAGCCAGGGTTTGAACTTCTAAATCCCATTCCTAATAATGTCATTGTTGGTATAACACTAATCTCAGATTTTTGAGTATGATCTATGTGCCTCAATTACATTCGTGAAATTATGAAAGATTAACTTGACATTTGTTCCTAAGTGCACTGTAGAAAGCCACCATTAAAACTGCATACTTTATTTATAAAGAGAATAAAATTGTTGAATATTAAACTATGTTATGTGGGTTTTTTTTTAATTTAAACATTCTCGAAGGTATCTAGGAATAGTTTTCACTAATTGAGCCATATAAAAAAAATGTATCTTAAGTGTTGAGTACAGTGTTTGCAATGCTAATTCAAGGTGCTGATATAAATATGAATATAAAGAAAGGGAAACATGATTTACCCTATTGGCCTTGCATAACCAATTACATGTATTAATCACACAATATGTCATATGCATGCCATACAGTATTAGCTTTGAAATTTATTTATACTTAATTTGAAGATTCTCAGCTTTTAGATTGTTGCATTAAACTGAAAAAATATATTTTTTCTTTAACAGAAATTGAAAAATTCCAAAAAGGGGAAGGAAAAGAAGAAGAAAAGTATATTGATGTAGTCATCAATAAGAACATGAAACTGGGACAAAAAGTTCTGATTCCAGTAAAACAATTCCCTAAGGTAAGCCCAATTTTCATATTTGGTAAATTTAAGTTCTTATAAAGTATGTGTCACTAGTATCTTAATTATTTTTTAATGTAACATTTAAAACTATTATTGGTCACTTCTGTTACTGTTGTGCTCTCTGTTCTGTAGGAGCTCTAAAGTAGAAGTGATTCGTGTTGGAATCAATATGCAGGAAAGTGATGCTGGTCACACAAAATATTATTTTGAGAGCAAATAATTGAACCATATCCTTGGGATAGCAGGATCCTCCTCTTCAGAATATCAAAAGGAAGAACAAATTTTGAAATTGAATCTGATGCCAGGCTTTGAAACTTTCTTATTGTAGCTGGAAGTGCAGCTTAAAATGCACCATTAAGGAATTAATTGTGTAAATTTTCTTCTCATCCTCTTAAGTGTCAGTCATTGTTATTCTTGAATGAATTATAGCTTGACTGCTAAATTATGCAGTCTGTTCTGGAGGGGTAGAGACTGTTTCATTAATATCTTTGCCCACCATGAATTCTTAACTCTTCTTTACTGCCAAGTATTATCCTGCACTAAAATATTGCTGCCTGGAAGCATTTATGCAACATTCAGTAGGCTGTGGAACTTTATTATTTTGGTGCTGCTTAAAATTTTAAGGTTTAATGTTATGACAATCAGATTATCATTTTTTTAATTTGTTTGAAATGGCTTTTTCTTCATACTAGAAATTTCAAGACTTTCTGCTCATGGAGGAAAGAAAGTCACCATTCTTTCCTCCTTCTGTTTAGGAAAACAGAATATAATATAATTGTTTACAATTATAGAAACAACTTTATAATTTACTTTTTTCCTGTACAGTATCAGTGTTTTTCTCACACGCCTGTGCAGGGTAACTCGCAGGGATTTCTTTAATGGTGTTCAAAGTTTCATAAAATATTCCTTGAGTGAGTGCAAGGCTGCACATCATGTGGGCACCTCTTTGGAACTCTGGCTTAAGTCATCTTTATGACTAAGTAGAGCTATATACAAGCAAACAGAAACATAAAGATCGGGATGTAAAATATTGGAACCTCTTACTCCACAGTCAGTGTTTGTGAACAGGATGTTTTTCTTCTAAATGTTGAGATGTAGATACTTGAGCTCAGGGGCAAGAAAGGCAAACTGGCTATTAAAAAGGGAAACTGCCTTCTGAAAGATACTTCTGCTTCTTTATCTAGTGTCAACTTTCTTTATAGGAGTAAACACTGAAATTATTTAGGATAGCTAGTAGGAAAGCTCTTGCCATATTTTGAATGGCTAGAGATACTCTGCTGTTTGATTCTGACCCATAGAGACACTGAACTGGAGTAAAGCCTGGTGTATGCTATGGAAAGAAGCCTGAATTTGTGCCCAGGCAGATCCAGGGGTGCAAAATAAAACAGCTATACAGAACAGATATGTCATGTGAGTTCCTGCATCTCCACTGGGACTGCTCCACAGAAAGCAAAATACTGGTCTCTCTATGCTCATAAATCTCTCTTCTGCCAGAGTGAATAAAATCCTAGATACTTAATAAGAATATTTTTACTGCTGTATTTGGGCACTCAACTTCTCTTAGAAATTTCCATTTTACTCCATATAGATGGATATTTGATAAAGGTTGCTCATTAAAGATTCTGTAGAGCCAAAATGAACTAGAATTTCTCACACTACGGGAATCATCTGGGAGGTGAGTATCAGTTCAGAATTATGATAGGTATTCTTGATATCTCTGAAAAGCACCTGCCCTAAACCACAACTAGTCACTGCAATTTGCTGTCACTTGGTATTAGAACCAGGTTGGTGGTTTTGAGATCTAATAAATTATGATACATTATATGAAGTGACATAACTTCTACATGGCAAACTAAGAACCTTAGTACTACTTAGGGTGTTGATAGAGAAGAGAAGCTCAGCATTATCCCAAAATGTGCTCTCACAGCCCTGAAACCAAAGGTGTCCTGGGCTGCATCCAAAGCCCCGTGGGCAGCAGGTGAGGGAGGGGATTCTGCCCCTCTGCTCTGCTGAGACCCCACCTGCAGTGCTGCACCCAGCTCTGGGGTCCCCAGAATTTAGGACATGGACCGGTTAGAATTAGTCCAGAGAGATTGTGAAGATGATGGGGGCTGGATCACCTGTGCCAGGGAGATGGGATGAGAGAGTTGGAGAAGGCTCCAGGGAGACCTTAGAGCACCTTCCAGTACCTAAAATGGGCTTATAAAAGAGCTGGAAAGAGACTTCTTACAAGGGCATGGAGTGATGGGACAAGTGGGGATGGCTTTAAATTGAAAGAGGAGAGATGTAGATTAGATAGTGAAAAGTTCTTAAATAAAAGAGTAGTGAGGCATCTGGTACAGTTGCCCAGCGAAGCTGTGGATGCTCCATCCCTGGGAATGTTCAAGGCCAGGCTGCATGGGGCTTTGAGCAGCCTGATTGAGTGGAAGGTGTCCCTGCCCATGGCAAGGGGGTTGGAGATGGATGGTCCTTAAGATCTCTTCCATCCTATACTTTTCTGTGATTCTCTTCTGTGGAACTTAACAAAAATATTGTGATCATCATAAAAATCTAAAATGGCCTTTCACAGGAATGAAATATATCTCTGCACTGCTGTTCTCTGTGTATGTGTGCAGTTTCCTAGACCATTTTACCTGTGGTAGGTGTTGGCATTGCTGCAAATATGTTGCTGGTAAAAAACACCAAGGGAGAATTTGTCCGAAAAGTGGTTAAAAGATTTGTTTCTCATTTTTGAGTTTTCTTTCTGCTGATCAGTGTTGGTGACAAATGCTTCAGAAGAATGAAATTCCAGACTTAAATATGGATGAAATCTATGCAAAAAAAAATCTTCTGCATGTCAGTATTGAATTCAGAGTTCTGCAGTCATTCTGGCGTGTTTGCCTGCAGTCCACACTAATGCTGTTACCTACTTCACAAGATCCTGGAGAGGCATCTCCATTTTTTCAGGCAATGTAGTCTTTATGGGGATACTGACCTGAGAATCCACTGTTTGAAGTTGACAAAATTATTATAATAATTGATAAATCTCTCAAACAAGCTTTGGGTTACCAGTTTGGGTTTAATCTAAACTAACTTTGGTAACTGGGAAGGACTGAGAAAAAACAAGTTTGCTTCAACTTCATTAACAGAATAGTTAAATAAGTAACCCCTGAATAAAGGGTCCTACTTTTAAACTAGATCAAAAAAAACCTAAGTCATTAAAATTGTTAAGTTCTTAACGGGGTTAAATTAGATGAAAATGAAGCTAACCACAAATATAAGTGATTTTTACCAACAGAAATTATTCCTTTATATTTCCCAGGGATGACTCTAGGAAAGAAAGATGGCCTCTGCTGTTGATGTATCTTGATATTTCATTAATCCTATCCTAATTTTTTATATGAGAGGTCTGTGAACCAAAACAACCCATCAGTGCCCCCAAGCATGACAGCTTGCTAGACCTGAAATGTAGAGTACATTGCCTTTTCCTTCTTTAAAACTTTTCTATAACTCCTTGAATTAATCATAATAGCCTCAACACAGGTCAGGCAGTCCAGGCTCTGATCAGATCAGCCTGGCATGGTAATGCTTGCTCACATTTCCTGTCCTGCCAGATACATTCTCATGAGCCCATGGCTGGGTCCTGTGCAATTACCTCTGACAGCCCTGGAAGGTGACAGTTTAAGTGCAGCAGAAACTCTTCAACTGAAGTGCAGAGCAGCTGGGTTTCTGTTGGAAAAGAATCTGGTAGACATGTTCAAAAGTATGTATTGTACTTTTATGAGCATCTTTGCTTACCTTGAAAAAACAGGAGTTTCTGGTCTTTTGCTTAGTGCACAAATAGCTGAGTGTTCCTGGTGATGAGCTTAAGTGGTCTCCTATCTAAGAGCTCTTGGTTCTTTCTGTGATACTCTAGAGTTATATCCTTTAACTGGGAACTTTTGTCTTGCTCAACCTTTGGCAGTGTTAGTAAACATGCTTAATCTCATGCTACAGGTAGTTGGTCTAAATGTTTTTTTCTCCATATCTGGACCTTGATAGAAAATGATAGAATAACCAAGACAACTTGAATTTTGTCTATGCTATGAAATAACTCACGATGGTTAGTCTCAGAAGTTATGTTCAGTTTCTCCTTGAGACTGGTTGTGAATTTGAATAAATTTGTTTGTGTTATTTGCAGACTCCTGTAAAAAAAGTCCCTGATTTGTCTTGATACGGTGACAAATAGTCTTATGTGGTAAGACAAAAACCTTGTGAAAACTCCTTTATGGATTGCAAGCCTAGTCAAAATATGATAGTGCAAAGTCTTAGAGTTTTTTGGTTTGGTCCAGCTCTGCAGATGCCTCCAAGGGGCCTGAAGTGCTGTGATACAGAAATTAATCTGAGGTATTTAGGTGAAGCTTGAGTAAGCTGTGGTAATACTGTGTGCAATCCTGTTGTAACTGGGACATCTATGACAAGTAAGGATTAGAGATGTTGGGGGTTTATGGTACCTTATAGGAAAAGAGCCAACTTTTTGAGGTAGAACTCATTTCTAAATCAGGTTACCTGTAGCTAAGAGTCCTTGTGGACTTGCTGTTTATCTGCTGAATACCTCAACTGACTCTGGGTCGTGTGTGAAAATGTGACCCTTAAACCTGTATTTCTGTTGCTTCATGCTTGAAAACAATCTCCAAACTTACACAGATTTAAAGGCATAAAAGGTGAGCTGACCACTCCAGGAAGGTCCTGATGTGGTTGTGTTGGTGGAGGGACTCTGTGGATCTGTCCCAACTCTGCTAGGAAGAGCCATCACATGTGAAAGGTGTTTTAGAGCTTTGTTGTGTACTTGTGAGACAGGAAGGTTTTATCCCCCTCCCATACATTTAATGAATATGCATTGTGAAGTAGTTTAGTCTTAGAGCCCTGATTTTGCTTTGACAGTTTGCTGAACTTGGATGTTCTGAATTAGTTGAAAAAAATAGCTTCCATGGATGGTAAATGGAATCATGATGGTTTTCTGTGAGATGGATCAAAAC